AGAGATATGTGTTGTAATGTGTTGTTTAGTTCATGAGAATAGAGAAAGAAGAAGGGTAAATGGAATTTGGAGGCATTAAGAGCTTCAAAATTGGTTGTTCATGGTTGTTGGAGTATTGATGACAATGGCAATCTTGTAATTACTTGAAGATGATGAGGGTGAGAGAGTAAATATGTTATTTTCGAAAAAAAAAAAAAAATTGATGGCATTTTCGTGAATTATATGAACTTGTGGGTGAATTGGGCAAAATAAAGTTCCAAAAAAAAAAGAGGTTAGTTTTGTGGTTGACTTCAAGTTTCAGGTCAATTCTGCAAAAAGCCCTTTAATAAATATCCATATTAAAAGTGTGCTATATTACTATGTTTATATCATTTAAATTTAATTATATATCAATTACAATATATAAGATTGATTATTTTGATTTATTTACCCCAATTGTGAATAAACAAGAGTGATAGTTAAATTTATATGCATACGCCAATTTATTATATAATAGTAACTGATTTCTTAGTTATTTAATATATATATTTATTATTTTATAATATGTAGAAAAAGATAAAATAAATAATCAATATAAAATACTTATTGTGCATAAAATGTTGATCTTAACCTAAATATGTATCTCTTTATTTTTTTTTTAAATCTTAAGTATTTTCTGAATCCAGGTCAAAACAAATAAATGAAATGAGAATAAACTTCAAATTCAATATGTATATCGAGTAATAACCAAAATAAAAACAAAAAAACAACAAGAGAAAAAATTGAAGATAAATTGGATTGACACATGAACGTAAACTTCTCATAATCATAATTAATTTTTAAATTGTTAAATCAAGATATAAAACTAAGTTAATTTTTAATTTGTTAATTTTTAAAAAATTATTTTTTTTAAATCATTATGGTTATGTTAAATCATGACCATAATTAATTTTAAATTGTCTATTTGTATTTAAAAAATCTTAAAATGTTATTTTAAAAATAATTTAAAATATAACTTAATTTTTCATAAAACTATTATTTTTTAAAGTAATTTTTAAAATTATAGTTTTCTAATATTATAGACAAATAAATAAATTATATTAAATTAGTTTTGAAACTTTATATATTTTAAATGCAAATATTTTAGCAACTATTTCTTAAGAAAGCATTAGGGAACTTGTTAATATTCTACCAATCAGGTCCAGTGAAACTCTGTTTATTTTCCATCATTCGAACACTAAAAAGTGAAAAGATATATGAAACCGGGTCCATTAAATTCTAAGCTTTGATCCACAGTTCTAATTACAATTGTTTCTGATTTTACGTATAGATAATTATATAAAAACTCCAAAATTTTAAAATTTCAAATACATATAAAAAGAATCATATGTAAATTTTAAATTTGTCAATACTAAAAATTAATATTTTAATTACATACATTCACTCCGCGCAAAACGCAGATCTTATCCTAGTATTCTATATAACAGAATAATCTAACAGCAACTTTTATGTCTAATGAATATATACATAAGAAACTTTTTTTTCTTTTTTTTACATAAGAAACTTAAAAGTAATAATAAACACAATCGGGAATTTCTATATAAGCTTTTTATATTTTAACGAAGTAGGTAAACTCTTCATGATTTTTTCGTTTTTGATATTCCATACGAATCACTTTTGTCCGAAGCACCACGTGACAGATCAAGGCAAGATAATAATAGAACAAAAAAAAGCTTGAACCATAAGAGACGAATACATTAATCACAGAAATCCCACGAGAGGAATGGGGATGGCGGAGTGATTACTCCGACGACCGTGCCTCACCGCTAAATGTCGAATGGGCGGCGGAGGACGGTTACGGAAAGCTACTTCGATTGATTCTGCCACGGCAGCAACAAAATCTACGGTTAGTTTCACAAACTCGATGCAAATCTCAAGTTTCATAGTCACCATTGTGGACTAAGAACAACAATTTTTTTTTTTCTTTTTAATATCTTTTTTGATTTCTGCTTCTCTCTATTTTCCACGTCTTCAAGATATAGTGCTCGTCTTTGCCAAGTCTGGCATGCAAAAACCAGAGGTATATATACAAATAGTATCCAAATTATTATTTTTATTTTAATGGTTTATGATAATTGGTCGACTAAAATACAACGTGGCATTTACTTGCAAGCAATTATTAGCAAGTTTTTGTTTTCTGTTCTTTGGAAGATGCTTCGTTGGCCATTGGTTTATACGAAGAGCCAATAATTCCCTAAGGGACGTTTTTTTTGCATGCAAGATTGTAAATATATATTCTCTCCGTTTCAAATTACAATCATTGTAGAATAAAATTTTCGTTTAAAACAAATATTGTTTTATAAATTCAACGCAAAATTTATTAATTTTATCTATTGTTCTATTATTTTATAGGTTAAAAGATGGTTAGATGTATAGATAATTGTATTTTTACCTAGAAAATATGTCAAATTAAATATTTTTTAATGTGTGTGTAAAAACTTAAAAGGATAACTAAACTGAAACTGGGAAGTATATGTATATTCCATACAGAATACGCGTATGGGTTGTATAGTAAGGTATCTGCCTAAATAATTTAAATATATGGTATTACGGTGTATTAGTGTAAAAAGAAGGGAAATTTGTCAAATATGACTCAAAACTTGGTTTTAAATGCAAAAGTAAATCCAAACATGAATCAAATGCAAAAGTAATCTAAAAGACTATTGAAATTACAATCAGGCCCTTGTGAACAAGCAAAAAACCCAAACTTTTTTACGTTTCTAACCCCCGCAACTATTCTGTCCAGACGACGACTTAGTTGAAAGTCGTCTGGACGACTTAATTGAAAGTCGTCTAGTATAGTTATTCTTAAAAATAATTTAAAAATTGTGTAAAAAAAAATATTTAGATAAGTGAAAAATTGAAATCATGTAATTAACATATGTTGTAAGAGATATAAATTAAGATATAACAAAATTTAATTGTTTTCAACATAGATAAGTGAAAGTAGTGAGGCATGATATTCTTTAGTTTAGGTTTTGCCAACATATGTTGTAGTATTGTATGTGTTTCTTAGGGTTAGATTTTCGAAAGCATAAATGTTTTTTTGAAAAATTTAAAATTTACCTAAGTGTGTTTATTTATGTGTATAGTAAACACTATTTAAGTATAATTTGATTTTATAACGTGGTTAGTTAATTAATTTAGTCAATTTAGTTTAGGATTTAGGGTTTAGGGTCTGGACGACTTACTATTAAGTTGTATGGTATATATATTTAAGGCAGATGACGTACTAGTAAGTCGTCTGATGTATATTATTCAACAGACGACTTACTAATAAGTCGTCCAAACCGGACTGAACCTTTGATTTTACCAATTTACTTTTAAACCTAACCGGATTTTTTACCAGACATATATAAGATGTTTTTTTTACTCACTTTTTCGCAAAATTCAAGAAACCCTAACGCCGTTTCTCTCAAAGGTGATTTCAAAGGCGATTTCCGTCGAATCTCTCTAATCCATCGTTCTCACAGTCGGTTATCTCTCCGCCTTACCACCGTTGTTATCACCACTGTTCTCACCGCCGCTTCCTCTATTTCAGATCTGAGAGGAAACCCTAGCGCCGTTTTTCCGTAAACTCTAGCGTCGTTTCTCTTAGAGGCGTTTCGTTGAACTCCGCCGCCGGTAAGTTATATCTAAAGAAGAACATAAAACATCGTTCTCGCCGTCGTTCTCATCGCGATTTTTTCACATCTATTTTTGTAGATTTATAACCGATGTGTCGAAGGTGACTATATCTTCTCCGAATCTTCAGGTCAGCTTCACAATGTTCTACTGGAAGTCTTGGAAGACTTATAAGTCATCTGGAAAGTCTTCCAGATTTATAATTAAAATGTTATACTGGATGGTTGTGTGTTTGAGATGGTTGTCTTTGATTGTTTTACAGAAAAAAATGGATATTCCATAACTCCCCTGTAGGATACATACAGTAGGGCAAGAGTCCCCCGCATTGCATAGCATTTCCTATCATCCTTGTACAAAGTTGTATACTGCTGTAAGGAATGTTGTTAATGATGACGAAAATGAATCGCTGAAGGAGTCTAAGTTGGGAGTTTTCATCAAGTTCCAAGAGCTGAAATTTGAATGGGCTTCAAGGCTGGTTCACTACATGCTCGGTTTCCGGCTCGGCATAAAGAAGAAGTATGAGCTGTGGAGTCTTGTTGGTCCACAACCTTTGAGGTTTTCACTGTTAGAGTTTGAATACAACACTGGTCTAATTTGCGAGTACATTGAGGACCTTGAGAGACCAAATTGTTCCGTTACAAAGAAGTTGGTTTCTTTCTGGAAGTTGTTGGGAGTTCATGTCGAAGCTGGGCCAACTACTCAACAGATAATAGCAGCATTGGAGAGATGCGAAGGGTGGTCTCCGGATGATCGCAAGTGGCTCGGGTACCTTGCCATCTTCACTGGATACACTGAAGGGAGAAATTTTTCAACCCCTACACGGGCTAGTCTGGCAAGGCTAGTGATGGATCTAGAATTTGAGAATTATCCATGGGGGAGAGTCGCGTTTAAGGTGTTGATGGACTCTGTGAAGGACAAAGATATATAGGGTTGTTACACCATTGATGGGTTTATACAAGATCTTCAGGTCTGGGTGTACACAGCTCAGCCAGAATTGGGTGCTAATTATGGTAATCCCATACCAAACAGATCGTCTCCACCCATATTGGCTTACATGGGTGGCAAAGGATGAATATTCTTTAAAGAAGCTATTGAAAGACATGTATTTACTTCAGTCCAAAAGACTTTTTGAAAACTAATGATTAAGTCATCTGGAAAGTCTTCCACCTGGACGACTTAGTAGAAGACTTATAATTAAGTCATCTGTAAAGTCTTCCAGCTGAATGACTTACTAGATGACTTATAATTAAGTCGTCCGGGAAGACTACCCAGACGACTTAATAATAAGTAGTCTGCTAAGTCATCTAGCTGGAAGACTTTCCAGACGACTTATGATTAAGTCGTCCAGCTGAAAGACTTTCCAGATGACTTAATCATAAGTTTTATGCGGAGTCTTTTCTTTCCATCTATCTTAATCCGTCAAATATCTAAGTTTATATTTTCTATTTACTGCAGACTAGGGTGATGAACTTTGTTGAGAAGGACATTGGTGAAATGTTTCCAAAATGGGACTCTGATGCTAAGGACCCGGCCGCGGAGAACATAATTAAACTCATGTATAATCAGAGACCGTGGAAGTGGACCATGGATTGCTGGGAAGTCACCGGTACTTGGGTCAATACAAAGCCGGCAGCAAAGAAAGCGAAGAAATCGATAGTTCTGGCGAAGGAAGACAGTCCAAGACCTCTTAAGAAAGCTCGTAAAGAACCTAGTGAAGAGCTACCTGCAGAGGAAGAGGAAGAGGCAGAGGAAGAGGTTCGTATAGAACCTCGTCCAGAGGTGAGTACCAATGTTTGTGGGCTGCCCAAAGAGGATATTGAAAGAATCGTGAAGGATTCTTTGAAGGACGTACGCGATGCCATGAGTCAAGGGTTTGGGACGTGCCTTACGGAGATCAAGTATCTGTCTGAAAGGGTGGAAGCTGTGGAGAAGATCCTTGGTATCACCAAAAAAGGGAAAGGGGTATCATCTCAAAACACTAGCTCTCCCAAACCTAAAATTCAAGAACCCGGGGTTAGTAAAGCATCCTCTCGCAACAAGAAATTGACTAGACAATTTGAAATGGATCTTGCTGTGGGGAAAGTGAAAGTTTTAAAGGGTCGAACGCGGGAAAGAGAGCTTGCTTGGGGGTAAAGCAACAGATTTGTCCGCAGGTGTTACTTCCTCGAAAGAGCTGAGTATAGTTTCGAGCCAGGAAAAACCTCCAGAATCGAGCCTTCCATCGAGCTTTCCTCCAGAATCGAGCCTTGTTCTATTGGAGAAACAAGTACCCACTGTTTCAGATTTAGTGTAGGAGCAAGCTAGATATTAGGAAAAGAGGGAATCGATTTGGCAGAAATGAAACGTACGAAGAGTGAACGAACAAGGAAACTTGTTGCCTCACAACAATCTCCTTATACGGCAAACATCACGGCCAAAGTGATCATTCCAAACAAAAAGCGAGCTCCAGTCTACAATCCTTTTGGACCACTTAATAGGAGCGAGTTGATGGAGCTCGTTGACTGGTTGAAAATTGATCCGTAAGTGATTGTTTTCCCATAATAGCTTGCTTTAGTCTACAAGACTGATTGCTTTTCAACATTTTGTGTTTGCAGTGAGTATAACACACCTCTCGACGAAACATCACGTACAGCAAAAACTAAGTGGTATCACACCCTCTGAACCTCCTTCGATTGACTGCACAACTGTGTAAGTCATCTGATATCTTCTGACTATAATTCTACATAGACGACTTAACAGCCGACTTACCATTAAGTCATCTGGTAAGTCTTCTTTGTGGACGACTTATCAGATGACTTAGTAAGTCGTCTGATAAGCCTTCTTTGTAGACGACTTATCAGACGACTTAGTAAGTCGTCTGATAAGCCTTCTTTGTAGACGACTTACCAGTATGATCAATGATAAGTCTTCTACGTAGAATACTTACCAGGCGACTTAATCGTAAGTCGTCTGATATTTTATGACTTGTATTATTTTAAATGCAGCATGTTAATGCTTGGATTAATGTGCTGAAGAAGAGGTACGCTGAAAATCCACAAGCGTTCAGGAGCGAGAGGATTTGCTTCGTTGATCATCTCTTTTCTCAGCAAGGGAGATTCAAATACTCTCATTTTAAAGATCGGAGTGTGATCACAACGGTTTAGGAAGAAGACTCCCTGGTGGAGCGTTTAATTATTATTCAGGTGCTATACCATCATTTTGCAGTCGAACAAGATGTGGGGGGGTGGATATTGATGATATCTATGCGCCAGTGAACTACAAAAACTGTCATTGGATTGCTATATGGATATCGATCCTTAAGAGACACATAGTCGGCTAGGACAACATTTGGACCTCTATCTCCGACGAAGAACTCAA